GCTGCAATTAGCACCCTGGTGTATTTAAGGTTTGTTTCTTCTTCTTCTTCTTCTTCTTCTTCTTCTTCTTCTTCTTCTTTCTTCTTTCTTCTTTCTTCTTTCTTCTTTCTTCTTTCTTCTTTCTTCTTTCTTCTTCTTCTTCGTGTACCAGGGATCCCAGTCAGAACCCTGCGCTTGCCAGGCAGGCGCTGTGTTGATGAACTCAACCCCCAGCCCTACACTGAGCTTTGCATACCTGCGTGTGACCATTTCTAAAGGACCACTTCCTGGAAATAGAATTCGGGAGTCAACAATCTATACATGGAAATGCCTCACAAATATCAAACTAACCTCCAGAAGGAAGCCTTAATTTACTTGGATACAATGGGTGCCTGCTTTCTTTCTATACCTGTCAGGGACTTTGTTAGGGACAACGTTAGGGACTTTTTTCAGTTTTGTCATCGATGGGCGAGAAGTGTTTCACTGCTGCTTTATTGTGCATGACTCAGTTATCACTAAAGGCTGAACATATTTGCTCCTAATTTGTTTCTTGGGTGATTTGGCTCATGGTGCTTTTTCTTTTTCTTATTGACTCATGAACCTATCTTTTTCTTTTTAAAGTTTAAATTGTTTATTTCTTTATTAAAAGCAATATTGCTTGGTTCTAATCTATGATGGTAATTTGATGTTAGTGGTAAAGACAGTCTTTAGAGATTCTTGTCCCTGTTTATTAGACATGTAAGGATCTCATGATTCCATGGTCCAAATTTGTGCCAAAGTCAAGCATTCGCTCATTTGTCCATCAACTCACTCTGCTTTCTATGAGATAAACACTTGTTGAATGTCTGTGTCCAAAACTAGGAACAGGAAAGAGAATTATTAATGAGATCCTATCACCTGCTGTCAAGGCTTTTGCATTGTAGCAGGAAAGAGAAAATAAACAGTCAATGACTTCAGTATCACTTTTTAACTTTGGATGTCAACTGGCTGATAGGTTTTAAATTGCATTTCCCTGCCAACTAATGACACAGAGCACCTTTTCACGGGCTTATTGGCCATTTACCCATCTTCTTTTGTCAACTCTCTGCTGTCCTGTTTCTGAACCCTTCTTAGATGTTATGTTAATCTCTTTCATGTGCTGTAAATATTTTCTTAGTTTGATATTAGGTAGTTGAACTTCGCCATATAGAGTTCTTAATTGTGAAAGATTTGTTATGCTTAAAATCTCTTTGGGGGAAAAAAATCTCTTTGGGGGCTGGCCAAATAGCTCAGCGGATTAAAGCACCTGCAAGCAGGCGCAGGGGCCGGGGGTTCAATCCCCAGGCCTGCTGTGCCACCCCAGCCCCCGGGGCGCACTAAAATGGCAATTGAGACTGGGCATGGTGGCACGCACCTGTAATCCCAGCTCTTGGGAGGCTGTAAACAGGTGGATCACTATGAGTCTGACCTAGTAGTGAAACCCTGAACACCCTGTAGACCCTCCACTACAATACAAAAAACAAACAAACAAACAAAAAAACAAAAACAAAAACAAAAAAAGCTCGTTGGCTTAAGTGTTTCTGGTTTTCATTTATTTTTGCAATGCTAGGGATTGAACCCAGGACACTACAAATGCTGGGCAAATGCTCTACCACTGAGCTGTACCCCAAGTCCCTCACTTTGGACAGCTCTCTTCCATCCCAAGATTATAATAATGTTCACCCATTTGTCCTTTCAATGTTTTATTTTTATGTTTAAATCATTGGGCAGGGGCCGGGGAGATGGCTCAGTAGGATAAACGCTTGACTGGCAAACGCAAGGATCTGAGTTCAATCCCCAGTTCTGCCAAAAAAAAAAAAAAATCATTGGGCAGGATGAGTGAAATAAATATGCTTCCAAACTATGTCCTCTTAACTGGTAATTGTTCAGGAAACAACTGCTGAATAGCCCAACCTTTTCCTGATCAATTTGCACTACTCCTCTATGTAAGTGTCAGATCCCCAGGTGGATTCAGGGCTATTTTTAGACTCTATTCTGACTGATTATGCCGGTGCTGTGCTGGGTGACAGTGCTCTTATTTTATGTCTTTGTATTTGGTAGGGCAGTTCGCCCCATTCTCCTATTTCAGAGTGTTCTGGTTTCCTCATTATCATTCTGGATAAACTTCCAAAGTATTTTATCAAGTTTTCCAATGCTCTTGGGATTTAAGAGACTGCATGAATTTATGGGAAAAATGAATTTTTTTTTTCTTGTACTGAATATTGAACCCAGGGTCTTCAAACTGGGTTACCTTCCCAGCTCTTTTTTTTCTTATTTTTGAGATTTTGAGGTGGGGGTCTCACTAAGTGGCACAGGCTGGGCTGATAATTGTGATCTTCCTGTCTCAGCCTCCCAGTAGGTTGAGGTGTACCACCACACCTGGCAAAAATAAGATATCTTTTATACCGAGTATACTTATCTTAGAGCAAGTTATTATCACTTTTTGCTCATTCAAATTCTTTCTCTCTCTCTCTCTCTCTCTATAT